ACGTGTGCTCTTCCGATCTTTTTAATCGGCCATTTTTAAATAAAGTCACGATTTTTTAAAAAATAGCCACATAATTCATCTTTAAGATGAGCCCAGAAAGAAGTATATATCTTTATTTTTCTGGAAGATATGAATGTTTAAACATTGGGGAAAAGAGGCTTCAACGCAGGTAACACGGCAATTTTAAGATAGGACACGTTATTGAAACTTGATTGGAATCTAATTGATAGCCTTTTCGGGATCTAAACGATGAAATTGTAAACCAGACTACGATGCAAATATTTTTAGATTAACTAAATTTTAAATAATGATTTTTCAGACATCGCGCGATGATCCTGATCTCCAGCTTGCTTTAGCACTTTCCAAATCTCTGTATGAAAAAGAAGAAATTGAAGAATGGGATGAAGTTCAGATCGTGGCTATATCCTCTAATTCATCGGCGCCAGATAATAACGCAGAATGTCCGCAGAAAGCAACGTTGCAAAATTTTGGATTTAGTAGCAGTAGAAATGTATTACCAACAAATAATTGGCCCACCAGTAGAACTAAAAAAAGTAATTATATATTAAATAATTGATTTATCTTACGACTAATAAGAAACTTGTATTTTAGTTTCTGATTTTTTCTTTTTTGTTTTTTTTTTCTTATTTAAAAAGGAAAACTCATTGAACCAACTGTTTTGCAAAGACGTACGGCTGAAGAAAGAGATCGTATTTTAACAGAGAGAATTGCTGAGATACTTATGGGATGTAAAGATTTCACTCAAAGATGTCAGGAAAAAATAGAGGAGTGTAACGACGCGAAAGAGAAAATTGTTATAAAGAGTCAATTACTTCAACAATTACGTCAAATTGTAATTATGCCTAGTTTTTCTTATATTATTTTTCAATTCAATGCTAAACTCTGTTTTATTATTACACTAAAATCTGTTTTATTATTTTCAAGGAGAATACATTGTGGGATAGGACAAGATTAATGCAACCTCAAGATATATTTTATGTAAAACAACTATCGCCTCAAATAATACCATTAGAAAAGAAAGAGCAGAAATTAGATGTAAGTTAACTATTATCAGCACACAAATATTACACACACACACACACACACACACACGCACACGCATATTTAAGAATTTTGGATAATATGCGAAAATATATAATAATAGCATTGTGTTTTATAGGGAAAGCAGAATGTTACGAAGCTTATGGAATTAAACGTAAGCAACGAAAGATCTATGAGTAATAAACAAATAAAAAAAATAAAAGAAATACAGACTGTAGAAACAACAGACAATGATGAAGCATCAACAGTCTCTTCAATTACAGTTAATACGTGTTGTAAAGAAAAGCAATTTCTTGACGATCTGGCAACTAGTTGGAGAAATATGCTTAATGATAGTTCTGCAAGTGACATTATTGTGTTCGTCAGAAACAGCAGACATATATGGACGCATAAATTGGTTTTCTACACACGCTGCACGAATATTTTGCTTGATGTAATTTCCAATGATACGGAGTTCTCTACTGCGAAAGAAAAGATTTGTTGGTTTGATACGGACTATGATGTTGCCTTGGCCTTTCTAGAATTTGTTTATTGCGGTGTAATCGATAAGTATTCAGAAGTACTTGATTCTGAGGCAACTTTATCCGACATCAGAGCTTTAGGAAGGAGATACGAACTTAACGATTTATTTGCTTATTTACGTCAAAAGAGATCTAAATATAACGCAGCAGAAGTCAAACAAAATTGTAATACCTATGAAGAAAATATAGGAAGTGCAAATTCAAGTATAGAAACAGCTTTAAATGTTTCAAAATTAGACAAATCTTCTAACGAATCACGAAATTGTACGCATGATGTTGTGACAGACATTCCATGCTCTCAGAAAACACTATTACAGGAGGATGTTAATGATGATTTACATCCCTTTGAAAATTACGCATCTATGAGAAATTTGAGCGTTTTGCAAGACGAAAAGACTACTTCAATGAAGTTATCAGAGGAAATTAACTCCAGAAGCAACACACCGACAAAATGGGAAACTAGTGCATCGCCTGACATGTTTGATGATACACCAGTAGCAAAACATAGCGATAAGTCCCCAGTACATTCTAAAGACTTGGAAGATTCTAGCATTCACATATTATGGAGTTTAATAAAACAAGACGCAGATATTGATATTTCTAGTCAAAAATTATTAATTGCGAGAACTCAGAACCCAGAACATTCAGAGTTGGACAAAGGTATATCTATCTTTTCAAAAAATGTGAAACAAGATATAATCGAAGTTGATCCAGATTCCGAAAAAAATTCAAATTCTCCGAAATTTTCTATTGACAGTATGCATAAAGATACCTTAATTGATACTCCCCCAAGCAGTAAATCAAAATATAGCCAAGATTGTCTTTCGGAGGTAATAAAACAGAAAAGTGATCTTACATTATTTATCGAGAAAATTCAGAAAGAAAACGCGAAACTGGATGCGGAGTTAAATTTGGAATTTTCCGTTAGGGAATGTTCTGTGCAAATATCTCCCTTAAGACATAAAAATCCATTTTATATAGACAAACATAAGTCCGAGCTTCTACTTTCTGAACTTGACAATGAACAATCAGTTGATATGAAGGAAAGACCCGGTAGATTAACTATAATAGAGCAGCGTATGCAATCGTATGCTGCCAAAAATCCAGAATTTTATTCCCGTCTTTCTAATGAACATGCAGAAAATGTTAAACAGACCAATAGTTCGCATATGGATTCTCTATTACCCAAGAAGATAACGGCATCTTCTCATGATAATGCATTGAATTCTACACGAAATTTTACTTCACCAGATGAGAAGCACGTGAATATTTCGGAACGAGTTCACACAACTGTGAGTTCACAACATACTGAAACAACGAATCAATTGCTTAGCGAAACCATCTTTGATTTAGATACGAATGAGAAGGAGATTTCTATGTATTCTAAATACATGAAGGATCACAAGGACAATAGCATAGCAAAGTATCGTGTAGCGATCAGTAGAAATAAGTCGGATAGTAACTTATCTAATAAAAGTATATCATCTGATTCGATCGATGAAGATAGTAATATCAGTGAGGCTGAAAAAGATGAAATTTTGACTCAATCTGTTTTGACACAAAAAAATGCGGATGTAATTGTTTCGTCAGATACAGATGTTGAAAGCATATCTTCCAATGTTAGCCACATTGTTTTAGAGAACGACGACTCCGATCACGAAAATATCACATCTCATTCTCCGCAACAATCTAGAAAGGAAATAGAAGGTAACAAACAGGATATAGGAAATGGAAGTAGCAGTCAATCGCTCGAAATTGAGAAATTTTCAAAAACAATGATGACAAACTCGGAAGAAGAAAAAGAAATTAATAGAGCAACCAAATCAAATCAAGATAAGTTAGATACTACAGAGGTAATGTCTGTGACACAAAAATATACATTAAATGAATTAAATGACGATCAGAAAACGGGATCTATTCCAAGCCCGATTACGGTGTTCTCCAGCCCAGATCATTTTTCAAATGGCGAAAGCCGCAGTCCGGTTTTAAATATGGACAGCTTGCTTCGAGATAAACTCTGCATCGAAAGTGTATCAGGATTAGATGCTTGTAAACTAAGAAATTCGCTCAACTTTTCTTCTATCTTTGAGGATGATATACATCTTGCAAACGTCAATATTGATAATTATGAGAAACAACGTATTTTGGAGAAGAGTCGATCGTTTAGCACATTAAGTAAGAGAGAATCTAAGAATACCAGTACACGCAGAAGCAATAATAAAAATACTCGTGAAAATATCAAAGATAAAAATGTAGTAGCAGATAATAGAAATTTAGATTTTTATAGCAATGCTACATCTTTGACTCAAAATTTTACAAGTGTTAGGAACTTTGGAAGAAAATCTTTATCCGAGGGACAGATTGACACAAATAGACTACGTAATAATCAAGAGGCTTCATCTACACGTATATCTACGCAATTCCAATGTAATTACATTCAGAACATTGAAAATGCAAAAACGCCTAAAATAACTGAAAAAGACGTTACACCTCCGCCTGATTATAACATTATGAGCACTCCTGAATTACACGTAAGTTCATTAACAATGATAAATTTTTATAATTGAACATACTTTTTTTCTACTAGCGAATTACTAATTTCCAGGGAGAAATGAAGAAATATGGACTAAAGGTGCAAAAACGTAGCAGAGCTGTAAAACTGTTATCGCATATTTATAACGAACTTCATCCTTTAGTACCTGAGAAAACGATAAGACAACAAGTCACTGAAATTTCGAGCGACGAAGACGAGGAACCTCCGTCGAAGAAACGAAATGTGGATGGTAACATTTTGGAAAAGTCGAACAGTGCAGAAGATAGCGATAATGAATTGCCTTGTTCTCAAGATAGGTAAATCTAATGTAAATATTATTTAATCTATTTAATGTATAATATATTTTACACAGATATAATAAAATGAAATAAAATTATGTCTGTTACAGCAATGACAGTGTAAGTTCTGCAAAGGAAACAATCAACAAAGAAATGGAATTTTATGAAACCGAGTCGTTATCGGTATTGAAGAATTCATCGGACATCACAGAAGCTTTTATGAGACTAATTAAAATTGATAAAGATTTACATAACAAAATATTACGATATGAACCAGTGAATATTGAACAGTTACGTTCTACGTTGAAAATACATGGATTTAAATGCAAATTTTCTGATCTTATGAGCTTTCTAGATCAACAGGTGCGTTTAAAAAAAATTTTTTAAAACTTTATTTATATGACCACATTAAGAAAAATATGTATATAAATAATGTGGAATTTTTATTTTAGTGTATTACATTCTATGCACCAGAACAAAGCATCAAGAGCAGGACTCGTAGAAAAGCATAGTTCATCTATTCGTATAATTTTTTTATAATTCATAAAATATTTGTACATAAAGTATTTGTAATTAGCAAACATTAATATAACATGTATTTGAGATAAAGAAACATTTATATTTTATATGGCGCAACATGTGTGTATATGTTATCAATTTGTTTAATAATATTGTATTATTCGTATGTGCTTCTAGAAATTTAATGAACTAATACAATTTATATGTTACAAAAATTTAAATATTTTATCTGGAGTTTATTTAATTTAATAAAAATCAAAGATCGTGAAAATCTTTAAAGTATTAGGAGAATATAATCAATGAAGAGATTGCACTAAAATATCAAGAATTTCGTTAAATTTTTGATAATTTTTCACATTTCCAAAAATTATAATTTTAAGGTGGTTTTATCGCTCAACGCCAACTCGATAATGTTGACGTTGTCACATAAACGGCACACAATCGCATATGTATGTATGTACAATACAGTCTATGCGAAATGTTTTTATTGAATTATTAGTCATATGGAGGGACTAACTTTTGACTGAGACTTGCACGATAAAACCACCTTAATTAAAAAAATATATATAATTAATTTATGTAATATGAAGTTTTGCGAGAAATAGAAAGA